CACTGTGAAATTTTACATCCACAGACTTAATATCATACTTATCAGTCTTCAATCCTACAGTATAGCTTGCATCCTCAGTAAGATAAAAAAAATCAGAGCTCCTCAAGAATTCCTTCATCATCTTCAGTCCTTAAGATTAAGTGACAAATTCTAAAGCTCTTACAACTGCTTCCCAGAAAAAGTATCTAGCTCCTCCTTCTAAGGTTGTAAAATACGACAAGGCAGTGACAAAGATGACTTCTGTCAGACTTCTGTCATGGACAAATGGAATCCAAAGTTCATCCAGGAGTTTCTAACATAGACCTGTTAAACTTGTGGATTATTTACATTTTTGTTGTTTTTCTAATAAAATTACATGGAGGGCGAATAACATTTTCTTCTCACAACTTTTATGAAAAACAAAAAAGCTGCTGTAGTACATAGGTATTAAAACAACTTCCTATCTCCTGTCAAAAGTTACCTGTTCTGACCTTTTAGATTTACCTACCTTCTCTTAACTGAAGTCACCTAATTTGAAGGAGATATGAAACACAGTTTAGATGTGATGTGATTTTGCCTAGAAAGAAGGAAGTTATTCACGATCTCTTGGATCTTGTCCATCTCAAAGGAGCTCTGAAGATATTTCCAAAACAAATGTGTATCAGTGATTATGTGCAGCTGCAGCTACTGAATTGCACAGAAAGATTAGAAGCATCCTCCTTTCTGTCTAGACAAGTATTTTATAAACTTCATGTCTATATACAGGCTAGAGCTGAAAGGAACATCTTATAAAGTGATGCTAAGAGCTGAAACTTGGGAATGTCTACACAGAGATCTTCTTCTTGAAGTGGGTGGAGGTATACCTAACCCTGTAATGATCTGATGGTTCACGCTTCAGAAGTGTACTTAAATAACTTACAGTTAAAAGAAATTCAGTAGTAAAGAACCTAGGAGGAGTTTCAGGTGATAGCCATACGGAATTTTATCTAACCCATTTCTCTCCTAACCACAGACTGGGTACTGAGGGTGGAAAAGGAGGGAAAGAAAGAGGGTAGCATTCAGTCTGCTCTCAAGCGAGGAGTCAAATGAACCAATCAATCTTCTATCTTTCCTTGAGCACCAGCTCAAGAAATTTTGCCTTGCTACAGAGCCTCAAAGATCTTCCCACAAAAGCAGAACTTTGCTAGCATCTTAAGCTGTTCCACTGCATTTTACCTCGGCTGAACATAGTCTGAAGAACATCTGCACCACCATCTAAGGACCACCAGCCTAGTTCCTCCAATTACGCCTGCTGTCTGTGGCTTTGCTGTTTAGGACCATTCACGGAAAGACACCTGTAGTCTTCTCATGTAGATAAATCTCCTCTGTAGAATGCAAAACTTTAAATATCTTTTATGTGTGATTCAAAATCATAGGCTTTGAATATTCATAGCCACATTAAGTTACCTATATAGCAATCAAAATAAGTTCCATCTGGTTTTTGGTCATATTAACTACGCTGATGCCGAACTGTCAGAATGCATACCTTTTTCACAGAAGAAAAGAAAAAAAGAAGAAAAAATAAAAAAGGTTTGCCCTTCCAGCTCTCTACACTTAACACAGGATCAAATATACGTAGACTGTAATCTGCAGAGCTCTCCCCGATATTCTTAGAAATAAATTCCAGTTTCTTTATCACACTGACATTTAGAATTTTTTTCTAACTATCCAGACAATCTCACCTGCTATAAATTGAACGAATTCTTTCTCATCAGTCAAAAAGAACAATTCCTTTAATAATCTTTCATATACTGTAGGCAACTCATACTTCCTCTCTTCCGCTCTTTTCTAAATTAAGTAACACCTGTCATGCACTGCACTTTCTAACCGCCTTCTCCTCTTGCCATTCTCCCACACACCTCTACATCTTTAAGTTTTGTGTCCAAAACTGGACACTGTATACAGCAGAGACATCACAGGGCTCTGAGCAACCTGATCTAGTTGAAGATGTTCCTGCAGGAGGGTTGGACTAGATGACCTTTAAAGGTCCCTCCCAACCCAAACCATTCTACGATTCTATGATCTGCTGCAATGAATAAAGAACAGCAGTTAACTCTCAAATCACCTTTTCAGTTGAACTTCTAATCAACTTTTTGTTCAAATTCAACTTTTCTGTAATTAACTCCAAAATGAGTTTTAATTGTAAAGTTGTTGCATGCTTCCTTCTCCCACAGTCACTAACTCCTCACTTTGTTTATTTTATATGCTTGGTTTTTTTCTTAAGCAGCATTTCTATTTTCATTGACAGAGTAAAACACATACAGATATAAAGAGATGATCAAACTTCTGATTTATTTATTACTAATGATGAGAGAATCGAAAGCAGATCAAGTTTACAGAGTCCAGACTGCTCTAGCTGGGAAATCAACTGGGGGGAAAAAGACTACCCTGACAATTAGACACACTTGACATAAATCAGATGCTAATAAAAAAACTCAACAATGCTGTCTTTCAATGTTGCATTTCAATGTACAGACACACTTTCAGCCCTCCAGAAAAAGCCTTCTGCAATAACAAAAGAGAAGTTTTTTGTGATGGAGCTAAGAGTGGCAAACAACAAGGGAGATGCCAACATAGCTTAGAAAACCGTATGAAGTAGCTAAGTCTCACAAGAAACAGACACCACTCAAAATGCATTTTACATGACGTATCAAACCATCCTAACCTAAAACCACTTAAACTTTTTTATACTACCCTCTTGTACTATGCTGTATTTCTGCCTCTGCTGCTAACCCATCACCTGCTAGTAATGTGAACTCCTGTTAACAGTATACACTGATTATCTATCTATATGCTAATGAACCTAAAGTCTCTTGCACTCTCTTTGTTAAACTATGTTACTAGTGTCATACATTACAAATGCACCGCAAACCTTTAGAGTGACAGAGCCATGCAGAGAAAGCACCAGAATTTTTTATGTAAATCTGATGTTGGTATCTGATATTAGATTACAAAGAAAAGAGGCAGTTTGTCTACAGTCAGAGCTAATGAGCATCAAAGAAATCCTAAACCGTAAATATTACACTGGTAAGAGGACGAACCAAATGTTATTTTGCTATTTCAGGTATCATTATAGGTGGAAAATCTTAGCCAAATACTCTAAAGATTTTAATTAAACTTCATTCCTATTTCAAAAAAGGTTTAAATAGCTCTTTGGCTGGCACTCTCATGCTTTGGCCCCACGCTGTCCTTTGCATTTCTCTTTGCATAATAAAGAATTCAGACACCATAGGACCTTAGAGTCACCTACAAAAGCTGGGCTGAACAACATAGCCTTAGATCGTTTCTTCATTTTGGAGATTCACTCACACTGTTACGCATTTTGCAAGAACTCTTGATAGGCACTCAGTTGTAAAACTGCAAGAATATCAATTTGGAAAGACAAAGCAAAGTCTATACATTCCTATCATTAGGCAGGAAGAAACAGACTTTTCTTGCACTATAATCTGTCATACAATAGAAGTGCCGTGAACGGTCCTTGAGACCTAACAGATGCTTTGAGACTTTATTCAATCTTTCAAAGTGATAAAAATGGCTACATTGCAGTCACTTATGTTTCTTATGCTATAAGCAACAGAAATCCATCTCATTTACTTTGCGGATTACAATAATTTATTACAATCTTCTTCATGTAAATTATGGTCAGGGAAGGAAACTAGGAGATTTCATCCTTTTGGTAAACAGCAAGGAAAATGATCATTCTACTACAAAGACAATTCATCCTTTCTGAAAGTAAACTCTGAGGTGCAAAACCAAAACTATGTGTAGCATGTAAGCATACCTGCAGCTCAAAAAACCAGAAATTGTAAAAAACAAAACAAAAAACCCCCCCAAAACCCCAAAACCCAAACAAAAAACACACTCAACAGGCAAATTTTTGTTGAAAATTAAGACCTTTGAAATAGCCTTGACTTCAACACTTATAATTATTAAAAATTTACCTATTGCATTCATTCTGTGAATTTCAAGCAACAATTATACTTGTCCCCTGTACCTCTATCATTTCAGAAGTATAAATTATCAAATATTACATACGTTATGTCAAAATTTCCCAAGAATGCAGGTATATATGCATATGTCATTTACCTGTAGCAACATGACAAAATAAATTCTGCGTCTACTTCATCACTAAAAATCCCCTGTAACTGAAATAAGATGTCAAATATACCTTACTTTCCACTACTTCCCAACCAACACTGAAAAATGTGCTCTGCCAGTGTAAAGGCTCATCATGTTAGGACCCACTGTGGAATGCACTCTCATTCGTGTTTAAAAGATGTGAATATTTTCCCGCTTTCCCTTCCCTTATAACAAGTGGTACACTTGTGCACACTAGCAAGAACATTTTCAGCTAGTACCTAAAGTTAACTGAAGAAAAAGAAAAAAAAAAACCAAACCCCTATGATTTCAAGTCTGGCTCAGAGCTCACGAGGCTGAATTTTATTTTAGAGGAAAAGACAACACTGGGATGAAGACCACTAGTCTTGCCATGAGCTAAAAATTTGGTCATCTGCTCATATACTTGAATTAAAACAGGTCGTAGAGGAAGAAACAAATATTAGCTGTATGAAATCAGATACAAAGAAGAAAGATTCTACATGTTAAGACAACTGGCGATAACATAATTATCCAGTAATCTTCTAATTTATATGCAGTTCCTCCATAGACAAAGAGGGGCGATGTTGTGCATACAACTCCTCCATAGAAATACCAGCACGCACAATCTGTTACCTCTGATGACTGCTCTTGTACCCTTTTCCGTACGTGTTCACTGGATGTTAGTTCATGAACAGAAGTAGGTAAAAAACAATGTGGTTTTAATAATATTTGTCTATATTAAGGACTAATAACTTCACAAGCATATTACCACTAAAGCACTATGTGTACTTCATCATACTACTACTTTATATAATTACGTAACTACTCACAAGGATATAATGAAGAAGCTTTTCTTTGCTTAGCAATAAGAGCCAGATACTCACAAAGAAGGGTCTTGGACCAGATCTTTAAGGTTTATCCCACTACGATCCTCGGCAAGGTTCCTGAAGCAACTGTCACTCACTAAAAAAAATAGAAATAAAATTAAAACAAAACAAAACAAAAACAGAGAAACAAAAAAGGTGGAAATTTAAGTTCTTTTGATTAACTAAAAACACTTTTTGGTGTTGGGTAGAATTTGAACATTCATATATAAAGTCTGATTTTCAGCAAGGTTTCACCTAATTTAAAAATAAACCAACTCAATGGAAAGTGATAAACACTGTATCACAGATTACGCGGAAACAATCAGTTTCAGCTGGTGTCCTTACTACTTCTCCACCTGTGGCTACAGAAAGTCTCAAACAGAAATGCTGGATGTGCAAGCATACACAGATACCCATACAGGTAACAGCAGAGTCTTTAATTGTGCACCAGTCAGTATTCTTTACCTAATCAGAAACAGTGAGAGTTGCTATGTATTTAAGTTCACAGTTGGTCATGGGTTAGCAAAGGTGTTTAACAGGAGCAATAGCCAAAACAAACAATTAAGAGCAAAAATTTATTCAAACAGCTAATAATTAACCTATAAAGTGCATGTAAAGCAGCTAGTTACTGTAATAATTGAAATTACAACACAGTAAATTTCACAGAAGTTTAAGAGTACTAGTGTGCTTTCATTTTCTTCACTACATTAAAAAACTAAAAGTGATTTAAATCTGAAACTCCAAATCCATTCTCTTGGCCAATTCTCTCAGCACATGTACCCCACTCCCACAAGTGGGCTCATTTCTCTTAACACCAGAGTCAATTTGAGAGGTGGAAAAAAAAAGTAGTGGCACAAATGCTTTAAAAAAAAAAAAAAATCAGCATCAGTTCAAAGGAATTACAGTTATCTCTGATTACAGCAAACTTTCAGAGGGACACAGAGGTTGTGGTATGGCAAAATCAGTGTAAGGATCAATTTGCCATAACTAGCAAGGTAATCTGCCAGATAGAAGAGAGCTTATGAAGAAGTGTATTACTGCTCATCTTCTGACACAGAACACGGCCTTGCATTTGGTGAGAGGGGATGTGTTTAAAATCATCTGCAAAAGTAAGTGTTCCTACTTCTTTCTAAATGCAAGATACTAATTTTAATTTACATCTATAAGTATTCATGTGCACCACCAGCATCGAAAAAATGCAAATCATTCCCAAAATATGTTATTTTCACAGATTACGATACATACTGTGACAGACCTACCTAACACACTACAAAACTGCAAAACATTTCTACTAGTACCCCTTGTTGCCAATGCATCTCACGAGCCTGAAGCGTGTTAGTCTGCTGGGAAAGACAAGTACTGGAAGAAGTGGTCCCAGAAGAAGGGGCTGGGGTAGCTGACAGAACAGGTACTGGCCTCGGCTCTCACACAAACCCTGACAGCTATCAGTATATGACAATAACAGCAGTATTTGTCAAGTGTCGATAACATTAAGACGTTTACCCACTTTGCACCTCAACACTGTAATAACCAGTTGATAAGAGAAGCTTCTCTTATCTTCAGTCTCTGAAAATGCTACCTAGCAGTTGCTCATCACACACGATCCCTGAAAGCCAGGTGGTATATCACAAGGAGCCTCCTGTCTTTGAGGTAATTGCCACAGATCCTCAGTTCAAACAGCAGCTACTTTTTCTAACAAAGTCCAGAACTCCTGGCTTAGTTCCTACCGAGACAATTTACTCATCGTCTCAATACTAAACTGGAATTTAACTGTATTGAGTTTGCAAGAGCTACGTACCTTGCCAGAGGAAGCTCACCTCGAACACCCCGGGCCTTTAGAAATTTTTCATTTCCATGCACAGCTATCACATTGAACCCAAGACCCTTGAATTTACAAACTCTCTAACTCCTGAGCTAAAGGAGCAATTCCAAGATCAGCAGACTCCTAAACAACCTACACTCTAGATTTTATGGGAAGAAAAAAAATCCCGGCTAAGTTGATATTTGATAGTTTATATTTCCCTCTTGTCAAGTTTGGCAACAAAACAGTAAACGGAACATTTTACCTACTGCCTTGTCATAAATCCTACACTAGTGACGTATCGACATATCTCCTATGCCAACAGTATACATCATGAATAAAAATGATGGTTGATAATGTTTTTTCACTACTAACGAATGAAACATTTCTTAAGTATTAAATAGGCAAGCTAAATATGCTGTGTTTTTTCTACTGTCTTCTCCAATCTCCTCGTCAATTATAATTGTGATTACTTTCGAAGAAACTATTGTGACTGTTCTAAAACTTTGAGGGAAAATGAAAAATAACAACATAAAATTATTTTATCAGTAAAACTGACCATTATTTGTCTGTATAACTCACGAAGTTTATTAAACGTGTTTGAAAAAAATGGTCAAAATGAAAGCCTAGATTTGCCAGACTGCCTTTGTCTTGTCTCAACATAACTCTAATATTATAATACCCTTTTTATCAGTGAAGTTGAAAACTGCAAACCTTCTGTCTAGTTAGCAGAGCTGGGCAATACAAGCTTTTGCTAAAAAGACTAACTCAACATCAGTCAAATATCTACAAACTTGGAAAAAGGTATCAACCTCCCTTGAAGCAATCAAGCAGAGTAGGCACTACATTTCTCATGGCTTAGAAAACCATGAATCAACACTGCACGTGTTTTAAAAAATGGTATACCCTGATTGAAATGCAAGGTATTTATTTTAAACGGGACATAGGGTGAAATTAGGTTTGATGGCATGGCAGAAATACCAGGATGATCAAGTGGTGCTTTAAGGTTTGAGGGAAGAAAAGGCAGAAGAAAACTTTGCATCACAGCCACAAATTGTACTATATACACAAAGGCCGTGTCTAACATCTGTATGAACACACTCCCCATGAAGGATTTTATTGTCTGGTTTCAAAATTTAATTTTTATTTTTTTACCCCCCCCCCCCAAGTTTATAAAACCTAGTATTTTAAGCAGTATTGAGTGCATAGTTTACGCAGAGATACAGAAGTGTTAGCTGCTCCCCTCTACATATATACACCAAGTGGCTGAGCCGCTAATCTGTATTACACCCCCCCATATATACTTATAGACAAGGAGAATCACAACAAAAAAGCTCTCTAAAATGCATTTGCTCCATGGAGTATTGTACATACAATGACAGTCTATAAGGTACTAGAAATGTTTTTCAAGAAATTAAATATTGGCACAAATATCATGGGCATACACTGAACCCACTCCTACTGTTACAGGTATCAAAAGAGAAAAGGTTTTAGCATTAGCTCCAATTCTCCCAACATTCATCCTACTTGCAGCTCCTGTTTTCTATTACTGATGTTCTTTTTCTGATCTCCATCTAGTCTTATGCCTAGGAAGTAACAGAGACGGGAAGCCAATAAGGGAATATAGTTCTCACCTATCAAAATCAGCATCCACACTCTAATGTGCAAACATCCAGTTTACAACAGTTGTGAAGCCTTCCCACTTGGCATTTGTTTGTCCACGTGATTTTTTTTTTTTTTGCTTTGCTTTCTTTAACAGAGTTTTAAATGAGACCATACTGAAGGAAAATGGATTATTAGCCTGTTGATTTCCAAAATGAGAAGTAGAAGAGAAGTTCTTCAACTCTGAAGGTAAACTAATACTTTCTTGAAGTGGAGGCAGGATACAATCTGTTGTGAACTTAATCCTTTTATTTTATTTTTTAATGTCCTACAATTTGAAAACAATATAGCCTTTTAAAACTGTTACTTAATCTCTTATGTCACACAGTGTATTCCCAGTAAACAAAAGCCCTCTTTAGATCAAAGCACTTCCAATTCTATCACTGTTAATGGTCACTCTCATATCATATGCTTTGGAAAAAATGCGATCATTACCCTCAAAAAAAGAAGTGCTATGTATAGTTTGGTAAAGAAAATAAATAATAATGTTTACCTCCCCAATATCAAAATACGCAATTCCATAAAACTGTAAACTACTATTATCTGCCAGATTTCATTCTTGGTTCTCAGAATTCAGAGTTGCTTTTAAACTAGTTGTGGCTACCTGTTGATAAAAACCATCCTGATAACAAAAATGCTACACTCAGAAAGACAGTCATGGGTAACTGCGATGCACTATTACTTCGAAAGTACATAGACTACTACAACATTGACCAGTATGCACTGAAGTATAAGACATCAATTTCTTACATTTTTGTCTTTTAGTGATAACATCTCCTAAGTTCAGTTCTTTTTCTCAGGGCTTCTTCATCTGTCTGCAGTATTTTTGGCACACTTTCCATAGCAGATCTCTTTCCCTTACCCCTCTTTTTATAGAATCATTTATATGGTTAGGTTTTTATACTAGATTCATTCAGCAGACGATAAATAGGAAAAATATTTAATACACTGGGGATGTTCTGGAAAGTACTGGTCTGGCACAGCATTGTATTCTAGTCTGGTTTTGCTTGCAGTAAATCATTATTTAGAAGTCTCATTTCAGATTCAGGTGGTTCTGTTCCACGCACTGCATGCAATGTAGCAGGATTCAAGTATTTTGTTTTTATAGGCCCAACCTTATGCACGCTATAGCAAGCGACCACTTTTACCTACTGTAATTGTATATATTGTTGACTTCAAGCCATAATCACTGCTAAGGAAGCTTAGGTTTTAGGACATAAGAAGGAAACAGAATTTTTTCTCAGACCTCAAAACATCTCTCTTCAAAAGCCTATTCTCCTGCAGACACAGAATTCCTGTCCTATAGGCATACTTTAAAGGAGGCAAAGCAAGGGTGCAGTACCAGGATGTAAAGATTGATTCTCTTACTATTAAAATGGTTTTAAGGTATTTTGCCTGTCCCATGAACAGTAACATCAGAGATAAATATCCTGCCTCTTTGCGATGCTATTGCCATATTTTTCAAGTGACTGCATGTCAACTAGAAAAGATGCACAAAACAGATGGCATATTACAGAAATCTTGTAGCACCTTCACCAGATCTGTTACAGAAGACAGCAAATTAATTGTAAGAAGAGCACTTACACTATTTGCATATCTGCACACAAATTTCTCTGACGTACTTGCAGAATAAA